ATCAGCTCTTCTGCAAACTTCCCATTCGCACACCCCACTGCCGCCCCAATCCGTATACCCCATCCACCTATAACACCATAACGCCATTTTCTTTGTAATGCAATGCGCGAATAACAACAGAGAGAAAAACACAACAACCGCAACAATAAATAAAGTGTAACATATGCAAATGATGATGAGAAGTATTTCGATGAAGAGGCTTCTGCTTCTGCCAATACAGAGAAAAAAATAAATATGGCATTATAAACGCAGAATTTATGGCGTTTTTTAAGACATATTTTTTGTAAGGTATAAAATAAACTTGTTTAACAATAATCACTTTTTCAGTAATTAAATCCAAAATAAGCAATTCATATTCCAGTTCTGTTGTTTTTATTTTCATTGTTTTAAAAAATGCTTATAAAATTTATTTTTACTGTTTTAACATTTTTTTTAATATTTTATTTTGGATGTATATGTACGAATCCATTTCAGCTGCCGTTTTACTGATGATAATGACTATCGCCTGGGATGTCCTTGGGCGCCCAAATGAATATGCAACAGGAAACAGGTTAAGATGCAAGACTGCAACTCAAAGGATTGCTTTTGGGGTTCTTGAAGCGGTACAACCCACACAAGACAACCAGCAACATTGGTTTGAAAAGTGCAAAGGACAAGAAACTTAATTGCTACAATTTCAATCTCGTTGGAAAACGGAAAAACTTTATCGAAGTTCGCAGAGACACCCGCACAACCGACCATAAAACAAAAGGCGGACCGTGGCAACATGAACGTCAACAACATGTGGCGACAACAGTAGCAGCAGCAACATCGGTAACTGCAACAGCAACACCAACAGCAGCAACTTGCGCCTGCTGTCATTTGTGCAATTCCCACACACATGCATATATGAGAGCAAAGTTTTTCTTTAATAAAATTAAATTTAATGCTGCCAAAATGCTCGGCGCCTGGCACTCGTTCGGTTCAATTTTTTTTTCTTTCTTAATTTTTTTGTATTTTTTCTGCTGCAAATTGCATGGCAGACACCCAGCACAAGGATGACGACGCCAGCAACCGCAAATGCAAATGAGCTACAAATGCAATGCACATGCATAAAAAATGAAAACGGTTAAATTGCCGAGAGAAAGATGCAGATAGAGATGGAGATGTAGATGCAGGCCCACAAAGTATCCATAAGTTACGCTCGAACGACATTTCTGGCCGTCGACGGGACGGTCCTCACGAAATATGATTAAATATTGTAAATGCCAAAAGTTATGAAAGGCTCACTGGGGGCCGCCCCAAGAAGTCGGTTTTTGGAGCCATGCAGACAATTCCGATTCCAGTTTGGTGGATTACGCCCACCGCAGAATAATCGTTGGATGTGGAAAAGTGCAACGGCCACACCTTCGAGACACAATGCAAGTCACAGGGGCATCAGGTTGCCTATTTTGGCCCGACTGGAGTTGCAGAAAACAAAGGAAATGCCACCAGAAAAGGACAATTTAAACAGGGCTTCGTTTGTGATTTATAAATACAAAACTATACTCTTTTCTGGGGAACTTTAAAGCAGAAAAAAGGATTGCTAATTTTCCAAAATATTTCCTTAGCAATATTTCGTAGTATTAATATTATACATTCCTTCAATAAGAAACCCCCAACCCAAAGCTACCTATCAAAATGCAATAAACTCTGCTCGTCAAAATATTTATTATTTATATCCATTTAAGCACAATCTTAAATCGATTTACCCACCATAAACGTGATCGACTTTCTAAAAATAACCCGGCGAATCTCTGTTCATGTCAGCTGTTTTTTCTGTGCACGAGGAAAAAACATTTTTGTCGCCATTTAATTGACCGCAACACCTTGAAAACAAAAGTGGCCGGAGGAAAAGAGTGTGCATATTTTAAATTTATAACAAGTTTCGCTATGGAAATGCAAAAAGGGGTAGTAGATATGGCCAGCGAGTCATGCCAAATATAAGCAACGAAAGACGGCTAAAAAAAAGTAATTGTAGCTAAATGTCAAATGCGACAATTGTTGCCTTAGTTGCTCTGTTAGTTGTTGGCTTGGTTAACTCGCGTTGGCGACTGAAAAGCCCGCAAAGTGAACGGTACAAGCTCAGCGGTCAAAATGGTGGTGGGGAAGGGGTTCAGAAGGGGTTAGGAGGGGGTTAGGAAGGGGTAAGGAAGGGGTTAGGTAGTGGTAAGGAAGGGGTGAGCAGGGGAAGCTGTTGGCCTGGTGGGTTGGTCAATTGGTTCGTGGCAATGGTAACAGAGTGCGGCACTAAATGAGGCTTAACTTGAAATGAGCACACTTAAAAAAATAAATTGCTTCGATGAGCTGAACACAAAAGCTACAATTTAAAAATCGAAGAGAGTCTTAGCCAATTTTAAAAGCTTTTCCATTTTACAGGACTTGAATTATAGAAATTTAATAACTTTAATGCCCTCTTTAAAATCATTATTTAAGTTTATTTTTAATATCCATTATTTAATTTTTGTTTTTATTGTAAACTTTTAAATATATTTTATATTTTTAAAATATTTTTATGTTTTATAGAATCTTACAATTTTTGTAAGACTCATACAAAATTAAAAGTCATTTCCATTATAGGTGTAATAAATTTATGTTTAATGATTGAAAAATGACTACAACTCCACAAATATAAAAACTGCTACATATTTTTTCTCAGTGCTAAATAATACTATGTCACTTGCGACCAAGAGAAACTAAGTCAGGCTATCGAAGTAATTGCTCGGCGGGATGCAATCTTCGAGCCGCACTAAATATGCTAATTATGCGTTAATAAGCGTTCTGGCTAACGGGGCGTATTGGTTATGTGCTATACATATATGTGTATCTATCTAGTGTGTAAGATAATTCCTCGGTGGTTAAGGCCTGAACTGTTAGATTCGTTCTCTGTCACCTCGAGAAACTGGTGACGCCAAAGAATTATTGCGAAATTTGTGATTTCTACTGCCAACAGCCTCGGGCCGCTGGCTTTAATTATGAACGACAATCAGGCGGCGGTAGTTGTTGCTTTTAATGTTTGTTCTCTAGCTTTTTGCTCCTTTTTGTGCATGTCAATCAAAAGCGCTCAAAGTCGTGATTTGATGATTTTCCTATGCCGCAGCGAATTTTGTTGCCAATGCTGATATAGCCATAGCCATTGCCGCCGTGGGTCAGGCCACAGAAATCCATTTGTCAAGTAGAACAGCAACCTCAAGTTGTCTGTTGTCTGTTGTCCGTGATTCTAAGCCCGCCTGTCCTTCAATAATCGTTGCCAAAAGCAGTGACGGCGGCAAAAACAATGAATTATTGAAGCCAACATTTTGTGATTGGCGGAGAAAGAGAATTCTAATCAAAAGAGAGAGGCATGAACATTTTAATATGCTTGAAATGTATTTGATGGATTATGAAATACTGCTGAAAATATTTGGAAGTTTTCCTGAACTACTTAGAATTAAAGCCTATCTTTGGAATGCCTTATTTGAAGACATTATTAAAGTTTTAGACTTCTGATTCGATTAAAAAAAATTGTCTTTAAATCTTGAGACAATAAAAATATGTATATTTATTTATAAGCCTTTGGGGGTATGAAGAAAAATCTTCAAAAGTCTAAATACCAAGGAGAAATAAAAATATAAATAAATAATTGTGTAGTTAAAGTTTAAAAACCATTTTCAGACTATAAAACCCACAGTAAATCTGTATACAGCTTATGATTTATGGGATTAAAAGCAAGAATGATCGCCGCAATTATTTCGAGAGCTGGCGCCAGCAACTCGAAATAGCGACATCTGTTGCGATCTATGAACTGGGCTTGTTTTATTACAACATTTTCGAGGAGCTACGGACACATACATAAATTGAACAATGTCACGAAATAAATTTGTCTAGAGCTCGGACTCTGGTGGAAAAGGAAGCCGAAACAATGGCAAAACTGTTTCAGCTAACGTCTGTTAACGTTGGCTGATTTTTATTTATTTCGCTGTCTTTTAGCAAGTTGCTAACTTTTTGTTTCTGCTCATTTTACTGCCACAGCTCCCACACCGCCCCCTTCTTAACTTAACTCTTTGACTTTGTGGCCGCTGCCTTTTCGTTAATTTATGCAACGAACCAGTTTTGTTTGGTTTCCAACGCGTTCGCTCAGTGTCAGCCAATCTTTGTATATCTTTTTTTTAATACCGCCACACATATGTATATATATCGAATTAAAATTTTTATTAAAACATTGGCATTTGGACGTTTGCTTTTTGTTAATTGCATTTGCAATTTCTAATTAAGTTGGTTTGGCAAAAAAAAATAAGATTCGAGAAGAAATAACAAAAGCAGCGATCATAAAGTTTCCAACTGGTTTGGGTCAGCGCTTGTCAGAGGTCTTTTTCGAGCGGATCTCTGGTGACTTTGCTTGGCTTTTGCCGTTAATTTTTACACAGAGAGAAAATACTGCAATTATAAAGAAATAGCAGGTTCTTTCGTGGTTCTAAATGGTTTAATAAAAAATAAACAAAATGCTTTAAGAAAATCAAATTTTAAAACCAGGATATTGTTTAATTTTGACATATTTATTATATTTTTAAGTTTAAACAGCAATACTAAAAATTAAAAAAAATATGTTGGTCCATAAAAAACGTTCTTATTTATCTGTTCATCCGAAATTATTTTATTCCTCGACAGAATTTTGAAATTATTTTGGCCAACTAGTAGTTTCTAGTAACACACCACAATTTTTAAGTTTAAAAAAATATTAGTTATATATTTATTTATATCCCAGCGCTACAAGCACGCACTTATAGTCACATTAAGCTTATATTTTTTAATTATTAAAACGATTTTTCTCACTTTCTCAATTAATATTAATGACTATCATCAAATTTTCGTAGTTTCTTAGTTACTATAAGTGATATGCGTATTTTTTAAAGTGTACCCGTGGTTCAATGCAAACGAGAAGCTCTAAACCAAACCGAGCTGAATCAGCTACCAGTTTTTTTCTCCTCCCTGGGACCATTAAAATGAACAAGTTTCAAAAGCGTTTTCAATGCAAAAGTCTTATCAAAAGTATTTATTTACACAAGCTATATACCATAAATCACCGCGGTCTGATTGATACGCCACTAATCCTGTTTGGTTCGGTTCTCCTCGAGCGGCTGCCGATGTCTGGCCTCCTTTTTCAGCTTGGACACGTTGCTCCGCAGTTTCCGCTTGAACAGAAGCTCCCGGTTGACCGCCTTCAGGTCGTCCATGCTGCACGTCTTCAGGTTGCGCACCGTTTTGGAGATGAGCTCGTCGGTGATCTCGATCTTGGTGCGGGAAAGCCGCAGCTGCCGGGCATTCCGACGGGCCAATTCGAGGCGGTACAGGAACAGATGATAGCTCACAGTGGGCCTTAGCATCCTTTCGCTCTCCATTGTTCGGTTTTAAGATATGTATTCGTTAGATATTCGCCGGGTGAAAGTTCCGAGTTCCTTTCGCCTTGACTTCTCGTCGTCGAGTGATGTTCTCTATCCCTGGTTATGGTTCTTAAGTATCACACTGAACCTATGTTTTGGCTACCTGATTACCTGAGTTGAGCAGACAGGTCAGGTCAAAACAGGTCAAGTGCCGCTTGTCTCCCCTGTAAATATTTGTGCCAAAATATTTCATGACCTAATCCGCTCTAATCCCCATTTTGGATCTTAAGCCTTTGCTCGGTTGACCAGACATTATTACACTTAATGTCGGGAAAAGGGTAAGTAAAACTGAGTTAAGGATTAAATAAATACAGTTGTGCATCCTGCACGAGCTTGTTCAAAATCTTTAACAGAATATTCTGGAACAGAGTTTTGAGGAAGGGATTTAAGTAACCAACCAGATGGTGGGGTTCCCAAAACTGAATTTCATTAATGAAAATAATTTGGTATGCTTAACTAAGAAAAATGATATTAAGAATAGGTGTATACAATATATATTTAATATTCTATAGAACCAAAGTCAAGAATAAAATATTTTCTTAGTTACACAAACAACTACAAAACATATGGTTACTATTGTTAGATTATAATAGAAACCTCACCCATCGGTAGCAATTTTCTGCCTCTGAAAATAGGGAATCCATTAAATTATTGTTAATCATGTTTGTTAACAAGATGTTCGAGTCAATTTATCACAATGAAGAATATGCTGTGACTATTGTAATAGCTTTTTCCCACCGCATTCCCAGCGATGCATTCCCATAAATTCTTAGCATTATTCCCAAGAACTTGTATTTGTTCATTGCATTTAGCCCAAAGTAAACCTTTCACCGTTCCCCGGAATTCTTGGGGAACCTCAATGAGAACCTCCAGCGTAGAAGTTCTAAAAGAATTTAAAACCATTTCCAAGTAAACCAACGACCAGAGTTTTCTGACTCGGCACCTGAGTGACATCCACGTAAAGTACGTCGATTTACAACTTTGACATGTGTGAGTGTGTGTGCATTTGCATGGGATGTCGAGATGCGTATGTAAATGTAGATCATTAGCATAACTGCAGTTCCCGAAAGACCAGACTTTTTGCAACAACTTAACTACTTCCAGGTAATTCATAACGAAAGTGGATGCTCGGGTCGAGGGTTCTTTCAGGTCAGAGATGGCATAAGCCTTTTATAATTGCACTTAGTAGCTGAAATGTAGCGAAAACAAAAGGATTTGGCAACCGGATTAAGAACTTTGGGAAAGACCACGCGCCGGATTAAGCAAATGTGCAGGCATCAGCGTTTTATAGCACCCATACCATCCTCCTTTTGCCCATTTTCGGTTAGGAGGTAGGGTAATCATCAGGTAGCAGGTAGATTTATGGTTGAGCTAAGGTCATAACGGTGGCCCAGGGGCTGGCTAAAAAGGCCGTGCGGGCTAGCAGGCATTTTGACCAACTGCGTTTGACAGCTCGCCGACAGCTTCCAGCTCAACGCGCTCAATGAACTGGGCCTCGAAATGGATTTGTATTCGATCCGATGGCTGGGGCACCAAGTCTGTGCGTGTCGAGGCATATATTCCATCGTATATTAAACCAGACGAGACAATCATAATGATTTTTGTATCCCCAACACCAACGTCATCATCATAAACATAATCATTGGCGCAACGCAGCTCAAGGGCCTTGCATTTAGCACCCAAATGGGCATTGAATCATCATTTATTTACCACCAAAGAATTAACATAAAATCCGAACCAACTTTCACTGGTCATTGTTATGGCCATAACCATTATTATGCCGGCCTTAATGCAGCTCTATAAATTCTCCTCAAAAGAATTCGCTCGATAAGCCCCAACCAGACAATGCTAAGGGAATTTTCACTTTCCTTTGGTCGTAATTAAGTTGAAATTAACTTGATTTGGTGCGTTTTTAGAGCGGGGGCCGCGTGTCAATTACGTTAAGTGAAATTACAATTACATGAAAAGCATTTTTAAAATCGTCTAACCAGCCCACATTAAATCGCATTTATGGCGAAGAGGGGTCAAGCCAAGGTCGCAGACATTCGTTCATAAATAAATATTTAACACGCAGTCCTTCAGACGTTGATTATGGGGCAAAAAAATAAAGTAGAACGGGTGGACGAGTGCCACTTTGGTATTATATTTATCACTTTAAGGCAACTCATTAAATATAAATGTTTTTCATTTGCCGAGAGTTGGGAAGGAATTCATTCAGTTGCAGTGGGCTTGTTTTAAAAGTGTGAGATTTTCTTGGGAAATGGTTTAGTTAAGTGTGATTCTTTAGATGCTGAGGCCAAACAAAGCAATAAAATGTTGACTCCTTTAAGATTTAAAAATGGCAATTTAATATTCATTTGAAGATACTCCTAACATTTTAAAGAACTTATATATGATTTTAGTAATCTATACAGTTGTTAGAAGACTTATAAATGAGTCTCTTTAATTAAAAAGTGTATAAAATGCTTAAGGTAATCATCACAAGAATCATAAACAACTTATTCTACCTTGATTTAAATATGAAGTATGGACTTTTAAATTCAATATTATTACATTTATTTTTAACGGCTTACAATTATTTAAATATTTAAAATCGTATGGTTGGGAAACACTTCGGATTTCATTCAAAAATATATCATGTTTTACCAAACTTATTTTCATTGACAAATAGTCCCCCGTCCAGTGCTGTTCACTAGTTAATCATGGCTCAAAACGATCGAATACAATCCCCAGACACTTAGTCACCGTATAATCTTCGCGTTATCCCCATACTTTGTCAGTGGCCAGCTCAGCTGAAATGTCTTTAAGCAAAAGGTCAAGTCATAAACATTTTCCATCCGGCCAAATGCCGCGCAACACACCAGCATGACTCAAAGCCCAGAGCCACCCACACGTGTGTGGCTACTCAGGTACAGTAACTTTGGCCTGGGATGTCAAACATTTAACAACATTTTCGAGGGATCAAAAATAGAGAGGCGAAAAAGGAGGAAAGGTCCTGGTTTTACCGAAGCACTCCAGGTAATTACGCAGCGCATACAAGTCAGCAGGTCAGTCTGTGGGTCAACAGGTAGCTAAGCGCCCCAGATATAAATAATCCTGTTAAGGAGCAGCAGGACATCATTCACGGCTCAAGCTGCCAAGCAGTCACAGCTCGCTCTGTCACATATATTTCAACGAGAAGTATCCACAAGATATAATATCTGAGAAATGGAAAGCCAACGTAATGCCAACGCCAACCACCGACGCGGAGCTCGTCCGAGCGTGGGCTATCTGCTGTTCCAGTACCAGAGCGAGCTGACCCGCCGTCATGCGGAACCCACGCGGCTGTCCCGCACCAAGATCCACATAATCGATGGCCTGGTGTCCCGCACCATCCGCCACATGAAGCAATGCAGCCTGGACGATCTGAGGGCCTGCAAGAGGGAGCTCGTCTACAAGGAGCAGCTACGTGATCAGCTCAAGAACATGCGACGCAAACGATCCTCCTCCGCCAGCAACGGCAGAAATGCTGACAGTTCCCCGGAGAATACTGCCCCCATTGTGAGTGTCAAGGCGCCAAGTACTCCACCGAAGCCCCGCTCCTCCAACAGCCTATCCTCCAGGTTGGACCTCTACGGGCCAGAGATCTTTGTCTAAGTCAAACCTTTTCTATTGCAATTTTAAATTCCTTAGTTAACCACTACATTTTTCCTTAACTGTTGACGATTATAAATCATACAACATGATATTGTATATAAGCAAAAAATATGTAAAAAAAATATTACAAAATAAACCAATCTAAACAAAAAGAGCAACCAGTTTTCTTAATTCACTTTTGTGGGTTTTTAAAAGTTAATTTTAGTAGGGGTTTCCAAATTAAATATAATTAATTATATAGTTATTATTAAAGAAGTAATTTTTAATCTTAGTTTTTTTTGTTTACTTGTCATTTTTGAAGTAAAAATTCTAAAATTATTGATAAGAATTATATAAGAATCAAATGCCTAACAATGTTTTAAGAACCTGTTAAAAATACGTACAGTTAAGCTTTAGTTATTCTGTTTAATATGCCAAAAAAAAGTACGAGTTCTTTAACTGCCAATAACAATTTGCACAAGACCACTTTTAAAAGTTAAACTCAATTTTAGATCAACTCCATCAACTCCCAATCACTTTGAACCCCAGGAATTCGCGATTAAAAACCAATAATCCCCTAAAATTCGAAACCAAAGTCACAGAAATAAAACTGGCAATTACACAAAAATGTCAATTGTCGGCGCATTTGTTGTAGGAGTGGAAATTCCTGTTCTGTAAGCCTGTTTTTGGCTCTGTTTTTGCTAGCTTAGCTAGCCAGGGCTAAAATGTGTGCCGCCAAATGCCAGGCCCGAACTATCGGGGCTCAAGAGTCAAGAGTTCCCACGAAGCAGCTTCGATCCATTGAAAATTGGCCACCACTCACCGATCTGTGATAGATGCGTCCGACCGAGAGAGCCGAGGAAACGAGAAAACCAGGCAGACAGGCCAAGAATGCGGTTTAAAGTTCAATCGTGCAGCAAGTGTTATTTAGGGGGTTCGCAGAAAAAAGGAAGGAACATCGATCTATGCGGGGGAAAAAACGTGAGCTGCGATGATCTAACCGGAGCTTTCTTCGTTAACCAAAACAGAAGTTATGAACCTGCGACGACGACTACTGATATGTAAATCGTCATCTGGAGAAATGTATATAAATGAATATATTAACCAAATCAAGTTCAGCAGAGCAGTTCTGACGTTTTCACAATTCTCCTCATTAGCTTTGTGCTGATTGGGTGACATTATCTATAGTTTGTGAGTATTATTTCTCATTTTCTTGTTTGTTAGAATGCATTTGCTTTACCTTTTTTTCGGTTTTGTTGGGGCCCGAATTAGAAGTTGAAATATTCCACTTGCTGTACAAATTTGTTGCTTTCTATTTGCATATCGCTGGGTAAAATAAATTATGAGCACAATGTTAACTGACGAACCAATAGAAGAAGAACGTACACGCACACACCGAGTGACGTTTTCCTTTCCTTATCGAACACACTCTTTTCTTTTCTTCAATTTCTTTTTATTTACTTTTCTTCTTTATTATTTTTCGGCAAACACTTTTGAGTGAAATGCAGCTGCTGCTCTGGTTGTAACTGTAGTTTAGACACAAACACGTTTTCTTGCGGCCTGGCCAGTATAATTACGGCAAAAGGCTATTTTAAGGCCCCCCAACCAACCGAAAATAACGAAAGCCGATTCAAAAAACGAAAAGCCGAGAAATGCAATCGTTGGGCAAATGCAACGCGGCGAAATGGAACGAAAAGCGAGTCGAAAAGCTAAAAAAGCCAAAATGCAAATGGTAACACGCACACCGCACTCACACTCACACACAAAACGTTCGTTCTTCGGCGAAGAAGAATCGTGTTTATAGATTTCGTTGGATTGTTGGATACGTATCCAACGGATCGCGTCGCGTTTCGAGCTGCACGACGGTTCACTGACGAATGACCAAAAAGTTTCAGATGCCGGACAGCTTGAAGTTCGAAAAGCCCGCCGCTCCGAGTTCGAAAAGCGAGCAGATCGGACTCTCTTTCTCTCCGTAGCAAGAGATCTCACGATTCTTCGTCTCCGAAGATCGCAAGTTCGTTGCCTCAGTCTTTCGTTTTTCCTCGTTTTTTTTTCTTATTTATTTTTTTTAGGCTTAGAATCTCTTGTCGGTTGTTGCCATTGATTTATTGTCCAACAATAACTGTTTTCTGTATTGTCTGTTGAACTTTTGGGGGAGCGAAAGAGACAGTAGGTGCTCGATTTTTTGATGACACACTTAACCGGAAGATTTGTGTTTTTCGGGTGTTATTTCTTGATCGAGTCTTATTCTCCTAGATCGCTTAATCTTTGGCTCTCTGATTCGGCTTTAACTTTCGCTAACCGCCGCTCTCGTTTGCTCAAAGACTTTTACTCTCTAGCCCAGCGCAATTACGATCGTAGCTCTCACTGCTCTCACTGAAAGCTCGGTCTTCGGGTTTTAGCTCTGAATTCGCTCTGTTTACTCCAGAAATTACCTCCTAGTGCTGGCTCACTCACTCGCTGGGCGGCTTAGTGACGCTTCGGTTTTTTCGGTCTAACCAACTTCGAATGACTTCTTAACGGTTCGCTACTTAATGCCTCGTTTTTCGTACACAGAGGGAAAATTAGACTATAGTTGTGAACACTGCTAATAATGATATACTTACTTTACTTTGGTGTAACCATTCTATAAACTAAAAATTGTTTATAAGATATAACATAATATAATGATATTAAAATGTGTTTTATAATATTTTCATTTATAGTCAAAAACTTTAAAAATTGTATTTTCTTTAATAATATTGACTATGAATAATACATTTTATTTATGTATCTATATAAACTCCAATTTTAAAAACGTTTAGTTGATATTAAGTATACAACTAGTTGTCTACACAAATAATCCTAAGTTGGAAATTCGGCATTTTATAAGTTACTTAATATTCTATTTATTTTCTTGGTTAACTATCTTAGGCATAAATGAGATATATTTTTTAAGGAACATTACTTAGATGTTTTAGTATTTAGGATTGCAAATGTTCTATGTAATTTATGAAATATCGAATTTCGTTATATAGTTTTAAAAGAAGGACAGCCTGTCTAAATATGAAATGTTTATTTTTCAAGCTTAAATTAAAAATTCCAGCATAAAAACTTTAGTAATTAGGGAAAAAACTTATTGTAAATGTAGTATTTTTTACATCTAACTTTCAGACATTTCCTTCAGTGGTGTCATTTCTAATATGATTTATTTGCTACCTCTGAGAACTTTACGAGTGGTTTTTTAAACAATTTTTTTCCGTGTGGCAGTTAGTTTTTTGTCATTGCTGCGGCTCTCAGACAGGGCTATCAACCCGCTCCTCCCTGGAATTGCAGCTGTTATTGTCATTTTGCTTTTAGCAGCAGCTTCACCTCAACTTAGTTCAGTTCAGCTCGGTTCGCTTGAGCGTGAATTTCTGTGGTTTCCAGGCGATTCTTTTGGATACCATAACGCTCCTCCTCGCCTTCTCCGTTGGCTATTATCAGCATTGTCATCGTTGTCGTTATTGTTGGCGCTTTTTTGCTTTTTGCGATTTTTCTCTTAGCTATTCGCAGTTTTCCCTGCGCCATGCCTTCCACGCTTGTAGGGCTGCCCTGTCGCCAGATCTGCCATATAACTAGTATACCTTATACCACAACTGAAACCGCAGCAGTCGGCCGCCGATATGATCTGATTTATTGTAGTTTCCCGACTTCTTGTTGTTGCCATCGCCTGTTAAAATATTTATTTACAATTTTCACAATTGGCATTTCAGTTCAGCGAGCTTGTCTCTGATTGTTTGATTGCATTGTTGCCATTGTTATTGTTGCTGTCGCTTTTGCTGCAGACTGTTGCCCCACTTTTACATATGCACATAAATAATTAGAGTATTTATGTTGTAAACTGCTTGATAACAACATTTGCATCGTTAGCCAAGTTAGCACAAGTATGCTTCAAGTTTTAGGGGGTCCTGTGTGTGTTTATTTTAATTTGCCGAATGTGTTTCCAATTTCCGTTCTTCGGCATCAAGTACCAGAAGTGCTTGCAAAAGTAGAACAATGCAGAAATTACTGTTAGTATCACAATTTTTTCAGATATTACAACTAATTGTTATTTCAACAAAGCTATTTGTAATGGTACTGCAGTATTACATTTTTTATAATAATTTCAGATCACCACCATTTTTATTATGTGGTTTCATTTGATCTAAATTAGATTAGATTAGATTAGATAGATTAGATTAGATTAGATGAAAATAAGATTAAATAACACATTTTTATTTCACAAAAACTAAAAACATAAGTACATATAGTTAGGTTAATATATTTCTTACAATAATTCTTGCAACCCACTTTTTTTATATTACTTTGATTAAAATTTAACGTAATCATTAAGTATAATAATAAAACTTAGATCCAAAGAAATATATTTTATTTTATGTTCTCTATTTCCTAATATTCATTAATACAAGAGATCACTGTACCATCGTTAAATAGCAATATTGGCGCCGTCATCTAATTGCGGTTTGCTTAAGAACTTGTAAATACGAGTTACTTTTGCATACTTTTCGGCGGTTAAATATAAAGTAATTGCGATATCGCATGCGAGTTTTTTCCTTACCTCGCTGGGAGAAAATCAACACCAAACGCTTTTCCCTTTTTCCTAGCAATAATTTGTTGGTCTTTGCCACTGCCTGAGTTCTTAATTAGCCCGCAATGAGTTGTCGATACGCCATTTGCGAGTACATGAAATTCGGTTTGGTTTTTGCCCTGCCCTGACATAACAATTTCGGCTCGTTTAATTGGGGCCCTCTCCTATGCCTCCTGTAAAGTGTTCTTTCGGTTTGAGTTGCTCTCTAATTGCATTTTCCAACGATGCCAAACGATTTTGTGTACTCATCTAATGGGGAAAAGGCTGCCAAACTGTGCAGATGGCAAAGGGTTGGCTTGGATTGGCAACGAGACAGATAATAAGCCGCTTGCCAGGCTGTCGTTAATTTGTGGGTGGCCCAAAACCGGCACAATTATCTGGCATGTGAGGAAAATTATAGGGGTCCGTTAATTGGCCGGAGGTGTCGGCCTGTTAACTGCCACAATTAAAATCAATGCCACGGCGACCCAAATCCGCAAGGCAACCGAAAGCCCATCAAAGGCTGAGTATACGTACTCATGGTTCCATAATCAGTGCGGTTAGCTTTGGCAGGAGCTTCCTTGTGGCTAAGTCAACTAGTTAAAATGTGTTTAAATTAATTTAAAATTTAGTAAATATAATGTTGATAAATACACTATATTATCAATATTTATCCATTTTAACCTTGTTCATTTAAGGCAAATTCACACGATTTAACGATTAAAGCACTCTGATATATTAAATATTTCAAACAAATAAAAGAGTTGACCATAATCTGTAATTTACAAATGGCTAAAACTTACGAATCTTGCACTAAAAAAGGTTCAACTTAATATGCACACAATAAATTTTAATGTACAATTATTGACAATGATTAATGTAAAATAGATATTCAATAATGGTATGGAATTTAAAAATAACTATTATAATTTCTTATAAATATGTCAGTGACAGCGTAAAAACAAGAAAAATGATTAATGTAAAATAGACATTCAATAATGGTATGCAATTTAAAAATTACTCTTGTAATTTCTCTTAAATAATTTTGACAGCCAAAAGAAAAGATACAAAAATGTTTCATTAAAGAAGGCTCTGTTGGGGAACTCACCTTAATTTAAGATCACATACGAATTCGGCTCATTTCCAACCACACACTCCCAACTCCCAGCCCCTTTTTCTCAACATAATATCTTCCAATTGTCCTGTCCAACATGGCGCTCGTATTTGGCGTTGAGAAGAAGACGGTGCCCACCTACATGAAGTATGTGATGGGCGGAACCTCGGGGATGCTGGCCACCTGCATTGTCCAACCGATGGATCTCCTCAAGACCCGAATGCAGATCTCTGGAACTTTGGGGACTCGTGAGTACAAGAGTTCGTACGAGGTTCTATCGAAGGTGCTCAAGAACGAGGGTGTGCTATCCCTATACAATGGACTGAGTGCCGGGTTGATGAGACAGGCCACCTACACAACAGCCCGGATGGGTGTTTACCAGATGGAGTTGGACTGGTATCGCAAGACCTACGAGAATGATCCTTCTGTGGTGGCCACAATGACCATGGGCATTGCCGCCGGCGCATTTGGAGCCTTCTTCGGGAATCCAGCTGATGTGGCCTTGATCCGGATGATGTCCGATAACCGTTTGATGCCCGAGGACAGACGTAACTACAAGAATGTGGGCGACGCCTTTGTGAAGATTGTGAAGGATGAGGGCGTGGTGGCTCTATGGAGAGGATGTCTGCCCACTGTGGGTCGTGCCATGGTTATAAATATGGTACAGCTGGGATCCTATTCCCTGATGAAAGACCAATTCCGTGGGTATCTCAATGAGGGGATACCTCTTCACCTGAGCGCCGCCATGATGTCCGGACTGCTGACCACCTTGGCCTCAATGCCGCTGGACTTGGCCAAAACACGCATCCAGCAGATGCGAGTGATCGAGGGCAAGCCGGAGTACAGTGGAACCATCGATGTTTTCAAGAAGGTGCTAAAGAACGAGGGTGCCTTTGCCATGTGGAAGGGATTCACACCGTACCTAATTCGCATGGGTCCACACACGATCTTTTCATTCGTCTTCCTAGAGCAAATGAACAAGGCGTACAAAAAGCACGTGCTCGGTGACTCACCATCCGATTCGGCATCATAGCTATCGACTATAGTATATCTTTTTCATCCCCAAAGAAATTGATTCGATATATCTGTGTAAAACGCGCATGTTCTGTAAACTAGTTATTCCTATCTTATATACAACAAAAAAGTGGCTTTTCAGATGTCTAATAAAATAATGGTGCCTCATGCTTAAGTTTATTATTCAGTGGGGGTTCAAAGCACAAAGATTTAGAAAGTGAAGTAAAAAAATTTATGTATAAAGTTTGCTTAGAATCCATAAACTTAATGATATGATAATCTATCTAAACCTAGAAATGTTGTAGTTTTGCCCAATACCTCCAAATACTTTTTATAATAAGCTTTTTTGGATAGGATTTCTCGAGATACATAGAACACAGATATGAATATCGTAGAAGGCTGAAAATACCTATCATCTGATACTAACAGAAAATCGCCGTTCTTAGCCTTTAAAAATTAATTTCGGTTCTTATTTCTTCGAAATTCCAATTTATCTTCTTCGTATTTCCGCCATGAGTTACAATATTGAGAAAAAGTCCATTCCCGGCTATATGATGTACGTCAATGGCGGTCTGGCCGGAATGATGGGCACTTGCATTGTGCAACCATTGGATTTGGTGAAGACCAGGATGCAACTCTCAGCCTCCACCGGCGAGTTCAAGAGCTCGTTGGATTGCATACTAAAGACCTTAAAAAAGGAGGGTATTCTCGCCTTTTACAATGGACTGAGTGCGGGATTAATGCGACAAGCCACATATACAACAGCTCGTATGGGATTCTACCAGATGGAGAATGAGGCGTATCGCAAGCAGTTCAATGGTGCTCCAACCGTTTTTGCCAGCATGGGCATGGGCATATTGGCCGGTGCTTTTGGAGCCATGTTTGGAAATCCAGCGGAAGTGGCCTTAATCAGGATGATGTCCGATAACCGATTGCCGCCGGAGGAGAGGCGTAACTATAAGAATGTGGGCCACGCCTTCGCAAGGATTGTCAAGGATGAGGGCGTTGCGGCGCTCTGGAGAGGATGTATGCCCACTGTGGGTCGCGCCATGATCGTGAATATGGTTCAACTGGCCTCGTATTCCCAGCTTAAGAACGCCTTTTCCCAATACTTCTCGGGACTCTCCCTTCACATCTCGGCCGCCATGATGTCTGGGCTATTGACCACCATTGCCTCCATGCCGCTAGACATGGCCAAAACACGTATCCAGCAGCAGAAATCTGGCGAATACAAGGGCACTATGGATGTCCTGATGAAGGTCTCCAAGAACGAGGGCATCCCCGCCCTGTGGAAGGGCTTTACACCCTACCTTTGTCGAATTGGGCCGCATACTGTGTTTGCGTTTATATTTCTGGAACAACTCACCAAGGCCTACAAACGATTTGTGCTCGGTGACAATTCCGAATCCACTATCTAAGTCTAAAATTAGCAGTACAACTTAATGGAAATTGCATTACAAATTTACAGAATACCCAAACCCAAAAAAATAATGTAACATTTGTTTTAGTTGCCAAAACCGTTTTATGACCTATGAAAATTCGGATTTTATTGAAATGTTGTTTTATGGAGAAATTTGGTTTTCAATTTTATGCAGAGGGCTTTCTCTTTTCCTTTAATATATGTTAGAACACCATGTAAAATGTTTAATTCAAATACATTATATCACAATTTAACTTTATGTATATTTCTTATTTGATATATATTTTTTTTTTTTAGGTTTTAAGATTAATCTGAGTTATTTTGATAGATCTAGATGATATTACCCATTGAAGGAATTTAAATCAATTTCCCATAAAATTAGGATGAAAGGAAGATATACCCACAAAATTTCATACCTAAATTTTAATAAATATGATCTTAACATTTAAAACTGGCTAGCTAATATAAAACACTAGTAATATTTGTAATCTTTCAGTTCTTATAAGAAGATCTTATAAGATCTTATATTGCACGATCAGTCATTTATCTCGCATGCTATAAGTAATACCAGGTCGGGATCCATCCGTCCCGCTCCAACGATCAGCTGGGCTTTGTTTTCCGTGGGGCTTTGTGGCGCTTATCAGTCCCTCGATCAGCCGGTCCGGTAATCTGGCCGAGTCAGTTGAGTTCCTACGTTGCGATCGAGCGGTTCGCGAGCGGTTACGGTTGATATAGTCAGTCGGGTGTGCGGATCAGATCGGAACGGATCGGGATTCCTTATATCTGATATACCTTCTGGCAGGGAGCTGAGCAAAGCGAAGCACAGCCATTCGGCGTCTCTCAATTGAAGCCACTTAAGTTTGCCGGCGGAGATCTTATGAAGGAAATCTCTCACTTGGGATTGGGATGAATCAACCGTTGAGTTCATGCCGCGGAAGTGTTAATTTAGCGCTCAAATACGACTTGTAGAGATCAGCCCAGTACAAGTGCCATCTGAAAGTGCTTTTTGTGTGCCGCATAAATCGTGCCTGTCCCGTTGTCCGAATACAAGAAAATATAATAAAAATATGCAAATCAAATTATGTGTGCGCTACCTTACGAGATAGACACATAAATCGGTAATTAAGTGATAATTATTTATGGTGTGAATTGGGCCGGACATTGGCAAACCTTTTGGGCGCTGTAAATTGTTGGAATCGCCGACGGAACCACTCAGGTGAGCTAGCCGATAAGAATCTGTGTCTATCTTGATTTTATGACAGAACAGTGGGCACTCCTCCAGATTGTGGCGATAGCAAAAAAGTTCTATCGCTGACGCCTCCGATCGAGTATGATTGATTGATTGTATGAATCTCGAGGAAATTTACGAACGGTTCATTGATTGCCATGTGAATTTGTCATAAAGTCTGGGACGCTTATAGACTGAGTGTTGGAAATCCCGCGGGAAGCTCTAGTTCATTATAATGGGTACTAATAAAGTTCAAGGGTATATTCCACTTGTGCTAATGTTTGTGACAGACAGAAGAAAACGATGCCGTCACAATAGAAAATATTTATTCTATTATTATGATCTCAGTTTACAGGTCAGTCACTTACATGGCATTTTGATTAAAGGGAACGCACATTTTCAGCAACTGAATTCCTACCTATGTAGATCTCAGGGTCTATAAAAGATACAGATACCTTACTTGTCTGTGAAAATAGTTAAATAATTTACTTGTCGTATACCAAAATTGATAAAACTGTATCCATATATTCAATTACTTTTTTGAGAAAGATACGCGAATTTCTTGAAGGGGGTATCTCAGCGGTTGCAATCTTCTTAAGCCTTTTTTCAAATTTATTTATTAGAATTATTACCTCATAAATTCGTATATATTCAGATGAATGTTGCTCATCTCACCGTTTATCTACTTGCATGCTAGACATTCGCAGTAAACTGCAATTTTCCAAATCAACTGATTTGACACTTCGATTACCGCTGAGGGAAAACATCTGAGTGCCAGGTAATTGCTGTTTTTGTCTGTTAGGGAGTTGTCTACTGGGTAGCGGTGTAAATTATTTGGCATTTATCATTTAAATCTCTGATAATCCCCACAGTGCTTGTGGATATTTACCTCAGATAGCGGAGAGATAATGACGCGCAAGGTTTTGCTCTAGTTCTATTTAATTATTTCATGTTGACTTTTTGTTAGGGCAATTAAAAGTTTCCCATGTTTGCTGGGAATGGTAATTACCAAAAGCTAGGAATTAATGCACGATAATATTGGAGAGCAAATAACAAAGAGTTTTTAATAATTTCCCAAAGCTTACCATCAAAAAGTGTTCAACAGTAGCAAATTTTAATAATAAAGCATTCTAATTAAATTTAAATTTAATTAAAATTCCCTTTCAATCTAATTACTCACCTACCGTTTGAAGTCTATTTGCTTTCCATGTATATTCATACATTTTCATCCATCGCTTTGTGGCAAAGACAGGCCAAACGATTTGTCGGTTTTATTTGAACTAGAAATTCTAATTAGCTTCATGTTGTCTGCATATTAATTTGTCAACAAATGACTGAAAATAAACAATGAGTAGCAGCTAGCACGCTCCACTTGGCATTTGAATTTTTTACCGATTTGCTGTTTGTTTAATATTTTAATTGGAAATCAAGCGGCAGAAATCAAATTAAAATGCAATCACCCTTCCGAACGAAACTCAATAATGTAGTTAATATTTGGTTAGAGCGATTAATGACTGGAGAATTGGTAGGGCAAACCTGAAAATGTCAACAAAAAACTAAACGCGGTTGGCATTGTGACAATACAAAAATATAGTCATATATGGTGACAAATTAAATATCACAATAATCGAATTAAGTGAGGTGAGCAGATTATTTTTGTTGCGAGTCGACAATCAGATACTTTTTTTATCCTAACAAAAAAGGCAATGAAATAAAGAGTTAAGTTGAATGAAAGCTTATTTTAATAGTATGATTTAAGAATAGTTTCTGTTGCTTATGGCATTTTAAAATGTATCAAATGCCTAGTAATTTTTAAATGTAACTAAAATTTCTAGTAGCAATTTTAAGCTAATTATCCAGGTGACCTTTTACAATACACACCCTTCAGCATTTTAATAAATGATTAACTATAGACAACAGAACATGTGCTCAATTACAAAATCAAATTGATTGGAACTAATTCGTGATTTAAAGGTGTAACCGTTGAGTATCTTGTCACAGTGATTGTACTCGGTTTTACACTTTTCAGTTAGTGTTTTGCAAATTGAAATGACAAAGCTTCGGACAGACGGTGGGCCCACGTCTGGTGGTATGCGTGTGTATCTGTGAGTCTGTGTCAAGTCATTACCATAGCCTATAACGGGCAGACAAAACCGCACGTGATCTAAGTCCCCCTGTTGATATTGCTATTCTGTAGTGAAACACCCGCACACACAACTGCATCCATAACTGGTTTAATAAGCTCGCTCGACGTCGCTTTTTTTTCGATCACATGACAACAAGATCAGTGGTTGGTGGCTGAGTGGGGCTTTTTTATATGTTTTCGAGCATCGAATGCAATTAACTAATAAGCAAATTAACGAATGCCTCTAATGAATTCACAACAATAAAAAAACCCATCTCAGAGAAAGCACGCAAAAGCCGGGGTCAAAGGTCAATCGCCAATTTTTCGTTTGACCGAGCCGCACAAAATCCCACATGTCATCGTTTATGACAAAAGAGACAAGCATAATACTGATGTATGAGTACATTTAACAAGTGTGTAGTGAGAAAAATCAAAATAATATTATATGTGTCACTTCGTAGAAATCTGTATTTATAAGAATGAGAGGCACTTAAGATTCCTTCTTTGAAAATTCTTTCTGGAAACATAAATAATTCTTTATCACTATGTTGATAAAATATTTTATTTCCCATGATTTTGCAGAAAAAGTATATTTGTTTATTGGTTTTTTGAATAAGCAAAATTTATTAATTTTTATATACCAACATAAAAGTATAAATTATTTTTTTACCCTTTTAACAACGTTTTTTATTAGCCCATTTTGTAAGGAAAATGATTGTTATAAAATGTATACGATAGTTATAGCTAAGTTCGGAGTGTTATAATATTTAAAAATAAAAATATTACACAGCCACCTTAGAAATATCTTAAGAAATATTTTGTTTTTTTAGTTATTCTGTCAGTGTGCGAATGTATTTGCCCTCCCATTGATGGGCAGCAGATAAGCCGCAGCAGCAACAAAATAGAATTGTGGCTGTCATCTGGTCGGATCTTGGGACACAACCATTATCGTGGTTGCCCAGATGCGTACACACTCGTGCATGGCCACAATTTGTCTACGACGGAACGCGAGAGTTGCAATTTTCGAATTAAGACAATTGCCACACGAATTACGGAGCCAAGATGCCCCGTCTAGATTCGCGACCCATGGCATCTGCCCCGGAGTCTCGTTCCTCCTCGCCGTGCACAAAATCAATGCCAAAAGTAATGCAAATTTTGTGACAGACTCTTTTTTCGTGTCGCTTTGTCGGACGGCTGCCCAAAAATAAATTGAATTTTAAATGAGCGGCAAAAACCTGAGTAAAAGTCATCAAATATTTAGATAACACTGGGGACTGAGAGCCCAAGGCTAGACATGAGATATGGAAGGACATGGGACGGCAAGATGCTCTAGAAAAAGTGTATATTTCATAGCCATGGTAATTTGACAATAAACGAAGAAAAGATGATATTGCCAATCAAATTTCAAAGTGAATAAAGTATTATATTCCTTTATGTTCTCTTGCAGACATATTATATTTACTTTAAATAAAAACATGATGTAAATTTCTAAATGAACACATTTTATTGGCATATACAAAATATATCATAGGCTTTTACTAAATATTATATAATTTATTATAAGCTAGTCCATTATACCCTGAGTAAACTTGTGTGTATTTTCTAAAGGGTAACCAAACAAATCTGAGAAATCTAAGTCCCTGGCCTTTTGTCTTCCACCTCGAATGAATCTCAGCCCAGGCACCCAACAGATACGGATACTTTGTCGCCGGGAACATCGCCTCAGATGTGCGGCAGATCGGCGGTAATTTTCCAATTGACGCCTATTACGGTTAATCGTAGCAGTGACCCAAGTCCGGACCAAACTTAAACTAATAATGTGCCCAGTTTAATGGCTAAGCCG